ATATATATATATTAAAAGTATAAAATACGCAAGTGAACATTGAAGATATTGTTTATCAACTAAAATACAAGTGATAAGTGGCATTTCGTACAAAAATTTGGGGGTGGTATTGAAGATTATTTAACAACAAATTGCTTAAATACTATTAGCAACTACTTTGTGAGAGTAATATATTCATGTAGAGAAAGCCTCCCCCAACATCCTGACCAAGTTTCATGCCGACATTCCATATACTTTCGCCGAAATCTCGATTGGTTCCGTTTTGGAAAGCAACCCCACCACGCGGGGGGGGGGCGGGGGGTAGAGGGGGTGTTACACATCACGAAACTGAAAACCAGACGGCGAGGAAACTCACAGTTTACGAGAAATTTGTTGTTAAAGTTGAAAATTTCACCTAACAAAATGTACAATAACAAACTATTTCAAACAAATACAAGTGTGCAGAAAACGCACATTCCAACTAAATTAAGCTCTTTGAATGTTTATCTATTTTATATTTTATTAATTTCATTATTTAACGATCAAGAACACATTTATAAATTTGTTTACTTTCCTTTAGAGCATTCAAATGATTCAATAACTTAGACTGTGTGCGTTAAATCCCAGTAGAAATTTGATGCATACGACATCGCTGTTGGTGGCATGAGCTTGCTGCTGTGTATGTATACATGCCAGTATAAATGAACCTTCATTTCCATTTAACACGCGTGGTTTCTCAGAGCGTATGCGTACTCAAACCATACACTTGTACTACTGCTGTATGCATATGGCTGTATTAATATTTCAAACATACAAAAACGCATTAATGGAACAGTATTAAAGCATTCTTACAAAATATGTATCCCCATATGTAAATGCTTCTTTTCTGATACATTTTAATATACGGGGACATACAAAAAAGTAGCACTTACATATGCAAATGCTTATCTTGTAAAAGCCCGTTAGTGCTGAAAATAGTATCGCACAACACGTCCGTTCACTAAAATTTTTGTACGAGACGGAAAATATTACAAAAATCCACTTCAAAATTTATCAAGAA